GTGGCACCCTCGTAATATTTATAAATGATAAATAAATAATATCATTGTATTTGGAGATATTATTCAAAACTCGGAATTACAGTGACGTAAAAAATATATTCTCTCAAAATATTTAAGATAATATAATAATAATTATGAATTGTTGATTATAATTAGGGCCTGGAATTATATGCACTAAAAATGTATTAAATATGAATGCATTTATGTACTCATTATTATTCAAATATACGAAAATATGCAAAAAATCGATTAAAAAAAATGTCTTTTATTTTCATTAAGTATAAATAAATAAAATCGAATGAAAGTTACACACACACGGATCACGATGAATGTATGATTCACTAAAATCTACTCAATAACAGATTACTACTTGTCCCGATAGGTGTCAGATAAGATAAGAAAACGATTTTGTCAAATTACATTGACTATAAATACGTTATTTTAATTAAAATAAGCAAAATATTACATGTTTGTAATAAAAACCGTATATATGCAATGAAAAAATCGTAAAATATAGAAATATTCTGTACATATCAAAAAATGACAAAATATGCAAAAATATGCAAAATAAAACTTTATATTTCGGATCTATTTCGAACCTAACTATTTTTTGGACTATCTAGAAAAACCACGCAAATGCATAAAAATCCGGGCTTTAATTATAATAATTAAGTTTTGGTTACGGGTTTTGAGCGATAAACAGATTTTGGGTACCTATAAGTAGGGTTGTTAGATTTTAAAATCATCAAACCAAAACATCATATTGGATAAGCTTTTCTTTTTTAGCTTTAAGTTTAAAATTTTTGAAGCTTTTTTTAAAAAAAAAAGATAATTAAACCTGACATGTCGATAACATAATAGTATAATACGATAATGATATAATGACAACATGTGTCTATGTAGTATGTACCTACAATATTATTCTTTATTTTATTATTAAAGTATTTTCTCTCGTCTTTCATTAACCGGGACAAAATTAATGACCGACCCGCCGGCCGGGACACCAGGACATGCTGTTAAAACCGGGACGAATGGCAAGCCTATACGGTAGATATAAGGCACTATATATACAACAAACTCTAAGTTTATAACATCAAATGATTGTTTTTTTTTTTTTTTTTAAAAAAAAGCACATGTAACTGATTTACGTAGTTTTCATTTTCAAGTACCTAACATGAATTTTATTAGTTTTGGAAATAGTGGAAACTCGAAAAGTCTTTACCTGATTGTTTCTGTAAGACGGCTGACACGAATAATCGTTCTTCACCGCTAATGCCGTGTTGCCGCAATCATCGTAAACCACTGCTGCCGCTGTGGAGTTAACCAGACTCGACATCGTATTAGTATTATCACAGAACAAACCTATTATATTAATATTTTAATTATATCGAGCACTTAACAGATGAATAGAAATCGAAAAACATAAAACAGATTTATCTGTACAACATTAGCAATAACGAACCGCGTATTACGATTATGCCGATCGATCGATTTTATTCCGTCAGAAACGTGTTATTTAAAATATTATAATACTGAGTAAACGTGGATTATATTTCAACAAATCGACTACAACGAGTAATAAATTATGACCAATATAATAACATATACAATATATTATATATGTATATAATATTGTTTTATAAATATTTATATTTATACATATACATATATAATATATGCACTTGTAAATAACTATTATTATATGTTTTTGATGAAATTCAAATATCTGATAGACATTCGCACAGCGATTTTCGGTAATTGACTGTTGTCGAAAAACGTTTCGTGGAGAAAGTAATAATATTTTATCGGTATTATTATAGTTGTTTCCGTTTCTGTTGGTGTGTAGAGGAGAGGTAACACAACGATATTCGATAATAATGATATTATGGAAACCCCGCACGATCACACGCAATCATCTAATATTAGATGGATTCGTGTGCAGAGACCAAAGGACAGATTATGAGATTACCAGCAACGGCAACAGCGATAGTATAATTATTATTATTAATCCATCACGAGTCGCGACATAACATCGTAAAAACGATTTAACGATATTAATCGTCTAATAAAATTATTAGTTTAAAGAATGCGAGCTGTGTCGTACAGGCGCAAATAGGCAACTAAATTTACAAAAGATCGAGCATTTGAGCCATAGTTGAAAATTGCAGGGGTGTTAAGTGTGCTTTGTACTACGAATTCTAAAACTAGTGTCTTTTGATAGAGGTTTCTTTTGTACCAAATTAGATCTATATGGTACCTACTTGTAGGAGGTCAAAATTGAATATTTTTAGTTAATCAGCTTATTAAATGTCAAGTATCTGATTATTTCATAGTTAAAACTTCTGAAAATTTTTAATTTTTCAATATATCTAAGAATTGAACTCATAACATATAGACTCAGGGCCTGATTTAAGCGCAGGCTATATAGGCTGCGACTTATAGGCTCTCACCACAACAGGGCCCTTACCATATATCACACATTCTAAGATAAATAAATTATGAAGATATTAAAATTTATCAGTAATTTCATCTATAAAAAGTTAAGACGTAAACCGATCAGAGTTTAAACCTTTAAACCTAGTTATTATTATATTAAGCTGTATTATATATTATGTTGTTAATTTAATCACTACCATTGCATTTTAAATAAATATTATTGAATATCTCAATTACTATGTGGTATTTAAAACTACACTTTAATATTATATTTTAAATGTTATTATTTTTTCTGGCAAAAAAACTAGAATTTAGAAAGTTGCACTACACTCGATTTTGGAAAGAAAATTATTTGAAAATGTTTTAAAGGTGGCTTAGTTTCTCTAATTGTGCTTGTGAATATGCCTTTTCTATTTCCTAAAAATCTTTTGTTGAGCCCATACCACAGTTGAGTCTAGGGGCCTGTTAATCCTAAATCTGGCCTTGCACATAGACCATAGTAATTATATAGTTCAAGATATTTATCATAAAATATATTCCTTTTATCAATATATTAGTGATTAAAGATAAATAGTTCAGAAGAAAAAATTAAAATAGATATGAAATTATAAGTTCAATTTTCATAAATGTATAGTACCTAGAGATAGTTAAAAATATATTTCATTATTTCAATGTTTTATTTAATATTTAATTTGCTTGAACTTAAAATTAAATTTTTTTTAAATTAATACTTAAAAACCCATATTTTCGAATAAAAGACGAGTTAACTGTCTAAATTTGATTATAACACAAAAATGAAAAATTAAATATCTTAAAAACAAACAAAAAAAAAATATTCAGAGCTTAAAAATACATAGCTAATTTTAGGTATATTTATTTTTATTAGTTACATAATTATAATATATTGCTGTAAACATACTTCAATTTTTTTGAAAAAATAATACATTTAGTCGAATAGTTGGTTTAAAATATGTTTAACATATGTATCTAGTTTTTTTTTTTAATTGATGATAAGGGAATTGTTTTACAGTGATTTTTTGTTATAAGGTAAATTTACTATTAGTTAAGATATTTATTATTTTACTATAATGTATAATTAGAAATGCGAGTTTGTATTATACAATGGTATAAAACAAATTAAGGTGTTATTTTCAGTTATTATTGTCATGAATAATATTTTTATTATTTATTATTATCATTTATAATTGTAATGTGTTTATTTAACATTCATGTGTTAGAAATAATTTAAATTAATTGAACTAGGTATTTTAATATTGTAAATATAGGTACAATGAGATAGTATTTAAGTATCAAATTTGGTATTCGATTTATTTCTATTTAAAAATTAAATATAAAAAACAGATTTTTAGTTAAAATTTTTTTTTACATAATTTCCAATATTAAATATAAGTTGTACTTACAAGAAATAAAAAATGTGGAATAAAAAAATTAGTAGATATATTTATATATTAATTGCAGATATTGAGGTAACTCAAATCTTAAATTATTTTGAAATTTATTTGATGTTTTAAAAATATAATTTACTACCTATAAAATACGAAGTGTAACTAAAATATTTTAAGTTTAAATCATTTCTAGTTACTAGGTATATGAATGTATGGCACATAATAATTGGTAACATGACTAAATATTAATTTGGTGAATTTGGTCTAATATAATTCTTGTATTATATATTATTTTTTTAAATGTTTTCTGACTTGACCATTTTTCAATTAATTAGTTTTAAATTGATTCATATTTCATGGTTAACAATGGTTTTTTAATTTGTTTTAAATATATATTATACTGGTGTCTGGTTATATATAAAAAAAAAAAAAAAAATAAATAAATAAATAAATAAAAAATACCGTATTTTAACATCTCTATGCATAATCATCTTTACCACTAAATGTAATAAAATACAACATTGATCAAACATAGCATCAAGCTTAATATATAATATCGTATTACACTTAATAGGATTTCAACTTCTTTTGTAAAAACATTTAATTTAAAAACACATACATTATGTAGTTAAAAAATAATATTATATTAAATCATATAAATATTGATGTATACCATACAAAGAATATGATCTATTATAAAAATAGATAAATAAAACATTTTAATTCAATATAGAAAGTACATTTTTAACTCCATTACTCTAAAATATTATTGCATATATAAATACATTTAAATAAGTAACAAACTTAAACATATAATGTATATAATTATTATATATATTATATATATTATTATTACATTGCACATCATAAAAAATTGAAATCGAAAATATTGCTATTAATAATAAAATTGTAGTTTCGACTTATCAGTATTGAAATGTGAATTTAACCAAATTAAAACGGTCAAATTCAATATTAAAATTTAAAGTCTAATTTAATTTTACAAAACATAGAATAAAATTAATTAATTACAAGTTAAATGTATTCAATCATTTTAAAATAAAATAAACAACAGATTATTTGAAATGATTGAAATAAATTTTTGTACTTGGGTGAGTTATTTTTATGTTAAAATTAATAATATTGTATTTATTGTGTGCATACTATTTAAAATTAAAACACTAATGCCAGGTCACATGAAAAATTGATAATTTAATGATTCAATACAATATATTAGAGTAATCTTGGGTCACAAAATCATGTTTAAAGGACCATTAGCTCAATATTGATTCATTAAATGTTAAATGATTGTTCAAGTGACCCGATAAACATTTTAAATAACTCAATAATTGTAATATTAATAAAACAGTATAAGATATTATAAGTACGAATGATAAATTATTTAGCTATTATAATCACACTTAAACACATTACAAACATTACATTTGGTAAAAATAATAGTATATTATTAAATATTTATTATTTCACATTATTACAAATGCTTAAATGCTTGGACAGGTTAGTCATATTATTATTATTATTTTAATCCTTTTAAAATATTAGTCATTGAGATTTTGCAGAAATTGATTTTCGGCGCCTGGCTCTAGCTCCTGCTTCATGACGAATATTTGTGTATTCAAACCATAAGACATTGGGAATTAATGTAGTATCTCTCAACAAAAATAGTTCTGATATTTTCCTAAAATGATAATAATACATTATTGTAAAAAATAATTAAATATTTAAATAACAACACACTAAAGCATAGTTTACCCATATTACCAGAAGAAAATAAATCAATCAATAAAATTAAAAAATGTTCATTCAATATTGCACACACATTGTTATATTGTGTATTAATAAGATAGAAAACTTTTAGTTTTCAATCTTTAAAGACCACTAGTACAAGCAATAGCAGAGCGCCAATTATCTAACCTAATTGTTTCAATAAAAATAAGAGTTTTTGTATTATAATTTATTCATAATACATTAAATAATTTTGAATATAATAACATTAAGTTAACTTTTTCAGATAATAGACGCTATATTATATATAATAAAAATAATAAGGCAAGTTAAGGATAAAAACAAGTAAATGATTTTTATTTATTTAATAAATGAAAAATAATTTAAGAAATAAAAAGAGCATCATTTTGTTTATAATTTATGATACAACAAATTAAATATGAGTAATATTGCACATTTATAGAAAATGTATTTAATTACAAACCAAAATAAATGATTGATACAGTTTAAATATGTTCAAATTTGTTTTAGATATTATAATACTGGTTATTTTCAATTTCAATAATAATATTTAGAAAATCATTTTTTAAATTTTTGATGTATAAATACATAATATATTAAACAATACTTTGATATTAAATTATAGGTTATTAAAAGTATTAAAAAATATTTGTATTCAAGAATAAACAAACATATATGCTCGATTCTTTTAAATAAACTTTGAATATTGTTAATAGTTTGACTTTCAGAGAATATGGCTAATCTATCAATATTCAAATGTTGAAAGTTGTATGATACTTGAGTGTTTTTTTGAAAGTATAATGAAAAATAGAATTTTATTGTATGGAGTACTTATATATATTTTTAATTTATCATTTTTATTTAGTTGTAAAAGTTTAAGGAAGGGAAAGATATAAATAACAAATGTATTGATTATTTGATGTACAACATTTAAATCACTCAAAAAATTTGAAATGTTATTTATTTTATGAATATCTCCCAGTACTTTTTTTGACCTTAAAATTGTTTTTAAACAAATAAATATGTTTGGGTTTATATGCATTAAAATTTTTTAAATATGAGTTTATAAAATCTAAACTAAACATACAATAAAATGTGCTCATAAAACATATTTTTCAAAATAAACTATAATTTTAATTTTAGATTAATGTCAAACAAGTCAAATCAAGGTTTATTCATTAAATATTTTATATCTTATTATAATTTTTAAAATAATAATACACAAATTTTAGTGATATTAAGAAAATAATACATGGTATAAATTAATAATAACTGAGTACGTAGACTTTGAATTAATAATTTTAGCTTCTACTGAATTGGCAGTATTAGTTAAAACTTTTTTTTCTCAAAACTGTGCGTAACGTTTTTACTTATTAAGTTACAAAATAGTGCAATATACCGTACAAAGATTGAAGATAATTTTAAAATTGTGAAATATACTCTAAGAACTCTACATTTTTTTCTATTTTTGATCATCATTATTTCATGAAACTAATTTTATGCTCATTTAGCATATAGAAGGGTAGACCGGTAAAAATATGAAAATGGTTATACATTATAATTCAATAATTAACCTAATATGATTACAAATTGTTGTTGTCGTTATTATTAATTCATAATAATTTTATTCTATATAATTCACTACAAAATTATTCAAGTAACATATCTTGATGTATTCCAAATATAATTTGGAATTTGAAATGTTTTTTTTCATTAATTACATTCATTAATCTAAGTATTTGATTTTAAATGTTAACTGTATGTATTTTATTATTCAGTTTTTTTGAAACTTATATTTTACTTTTTAGTTAATATAAATATTAAAAAATCATAATATTACTTGCAAATCATAATTTAATTGATTTACATTGTTTATTGGCAATGCTTCATTACTTTTATGTAATCAATAGAATTTATTAGTTATTTTTAAATTTAATTTTGTTAAGTCTATGAAAAAACTTCAAGTATGTATAATGTTTATATTATTTAATATTAAATTTTGACGACAAAACAATTAACCGACATTTAACACATTTTTGAATGATAGAATATTGTTTAATTTTTAAATATATCATTTAGAACTATTTAATATCATAATATGTGCTGATGAAGATGTAGATAGGTGAAATAATTTAAAGCAAAACAAACAAAAATTATTTTAGCACTTCATAGAACTCAAGTCTCAAGGCTGAAGCAAATTAATAATTATAATAAATTAAACTAATGTTGGACACAGTAGTAGAATCCATACTCCAGAATGAACATACTGAGGATATGTCTATAATTTTTACAAAAAAAATCACTAGTGTTATTTTGTATAAAACATTAAGTAAATAGATATAATTTTTAATTTAAAAAGTTATATAATATGAAAAATGTATTTTTAAACATACCATGATATCACTGTTGGAAAATAGGGAGTCAATACCACATTAATTATTGTAAACCAAACAGTACCTATAATAATACCAAACAGTGCTCCATAGATTACTTGCTTCCATGTATGATATTGTAGAAATATTCTAAAAAAGTAAAATCATAATTATATTAGTAATAGAAAAAAAAATGTTAAAATATTTAAGAATATTCATCATATTAAACATATTTTTTCATATTTCACTACATCAATCATGAAATGGATTATTATTTACAATTTATAATTGTTATTAACAATTATTAAAATAACTGAAAATTATGATAATAATATTAAACAAGCAATAACAATATGTAAAAGCATGTAAGAAGGTTTTCGTAATTAAGAAATAGGGAAGACGCGGCATACAAGTTACTTTATCAATATGAAAAAAAGTAGGAATTCATTGTTAAAAATAATGTTTTATATTACATTTTATATTCCTAAATTTATTAATTGTTATACTATTAAGATGTCGGTAAAAGTATAAGACAGTAATTTGTGCCTAATATTCAACTTCAAAAGCAATTGAAAGAAATGTTCTTGATATTCTATTTTTTTTAAATCTAAAGCTTCTTCTTTCTCATAAAATAAAAAAAAATATATTTATAAAGTTATAATATAATAGTTGTCTAAATACCTGCTATAAGAAACTATACAGGCAATAGCAATACATGATACAGCTCCAGCAACTTTCCAGAAAAACTCTTTAAATGCTTTGTTGTTAGCATACTGTAACCTAAACAATTAAAATTCATAGTATTTACATTATATATAACTTTTACTATTTATATTTCTTGAAAATATACCTTATAAATGTAAAGTATAACATGTATGATGCAAAAAACCACATAAATTGAGAATGAGATGAAGGCATGCCATATTCTGAATACAATAAATTTGTATTTCTAGCTAAGGGTCTAGGTTCACGCAATATATGTTTTAGGACTGTATTGCATATCTCATTGAGTAACACACCAATGAAAAAAGTTATCTAAAAATAAAAAATTTCTATAGACAAAAAATTAGTTATGATAGTTTTAATTTAAATGTATACTTACTGTGTGTAAATCTCGACGAAATAGAATCAATGAAATAAAACCAGATAGAATCACAAAAGGTGTCAAACTGAATAGTGCCAATAATTTTCCAAATACATCCCCTTAAACATAAAAATAAAATTATTAGATAGGTAGGTGCTACTCACAAAAAATTAATTTGTTAATCGATAAAAATAAAAGTAAAATATAAATATAAATGAGTATGGGTTATTATTAAACAGGATACAAATAATATTTTTGGAATGTGAGGAAATCACAAAATCTCAGAAATTAATAAAATACAAATTATGGTAATATACATTGCAAAATATTAGGTATAGTTGCAATTTGATTTTTTTTTTTACTTATTTTGTAGATTTTAATATTGTTGTTAAGTTTTTACTTTCTTTGGGTAGTATATTTTATCCATAAATGAATTCAAATATTAATTGTAAATAAGATAAAAATAATTTAATTTCAGTGTTTTATAAGTTAATTTTGTGTCTAACATGGAAAAATAAAAGATCTACTATATTAATTTATAATATAGATTTAAACTATATATATTTTAAAACAATAAATAATTATATTTAAATTTAAATTTGGTTAATTGTTATATTATACTGTAAATTTTTTGTAAAAAGTATTCTTATAGCTTTTGTAAAGAACTTCTAATTTATTTCTTATAATAACAGTATCTTATTATGTAAGATATGCTTGTCAGTCGCTTTAAAATAAATATCTGCTAATTTCACAAAGATATTATTTATTAAATATTTAAAATATAATGTTTATACTTGGTTTTAAAAATATTACTGAATACAATATATTTAAATGTTAAGAAGTTCAAGATAACTGTGTAGTTTTATTCATAATTTTGTGACTTGGCTATTATATCATAACGACTCGGAGTATAACAATAAAATTTTGAAAGGACTTAAACAAATTAAATAATTGAAGTTCATTAAAGTCGAACCAAACAGTAACAGAAGTATTGAATTTAATCTCTGTAACACTATTTGGACGTTTGAAACACTTGAGTGTAGCTTACGCAGTGTATAGTCACTATTTAATTTACTCACCTTTTGGATATTCAACAAACGTCAAAGACAATGGTACCCAGTCAACGGACTGATCATACCCGCTACTGTTAGAGTCGATTGATTCCATACTTGAAAAGAAAAGAGGACTACTGTAGTGTGGCGTTTTCTACATGATAACTACCAAGTACTGACAATATAATATTAAGTTCTCTGTGGAACGTGTACAAACTGTTTTAGACGAATTTGAATGTTTGGATGGTAAACAACAGACAAGACGTATTAAAATACTTTACTATTTATGTAAATAAAAATTAATCAATAACGACAATTTTAAGAATGCGCGGAAAAAAATTAATTAGTCAGGTATGAGCGACGAATGATCCGCGCGTCGTCCAAACAAACGCTCTTCTGTAATCACTTCGAACAGTATCCAGTCGTCCGCACACAGATTTTTACATCGCAGGTAGTATCATATAATTAAGTCATAACATCGCATTCACCGAAGACCTCTGGTAATTTTTTTATATTAAATTATTAAAATAAATTTAATAAGTTATTATTTATTTATCAAACAACCATGTCACATATTATTTTGAACGACCAAAGAGGTGATAAGAAAATAGTAGCTGTATGAATGATAACATTGATAACATACATTATACATACATACCTAGGTATAATAATTTCATATTAATAATAATATGTTTATGACGATTGACGAATAGATACCCAAGTACCTAACATAACTGATATAACATCTTAGAAGTTGTCCGAGTTATTTCGTCACAACTCACAAGAATGGAACACAAGAGACTGGGGAGGTCTTTCTTTGGAATCAAAAAACAAAAACTTGAGTTTCGAGACTAGACTACTAGATTTTAGACTTCAGTATCCAGGTAGGGGTATACAGATAGAATGGTGTAGACGTATATGCAGGATTTCTTGATCGGGGCAAAGCACAATCGGGGTCTGGTAATGTTTCTCATTTGAGTGTTCGCATATTATAATATCAAGTGATACAATTTATTACATTTTAACAGATATTGTGTAATAATAATTTTTATTTGGATTTTTATTTTTGCATTTATTCACTCTTGGTGATTTAATAATTAATTTTTATACATTATACTGCAGTTTGATAACCCTAACATTTTCCTAAATTCCTGTAAGTAATGTTGTCCTTCAAAAATATTAATTGATAACTCTTGAATTCTAGATTCTATTATAGCTTTATTACTGGTGCCTATGGACTTTCAAATTACGGGCATAAATACATTATTTCAATAGATTATTAAAAAATTAATTAATTAACAAAAATTGTAGGTTTTTATGTGTTTTGGTATAAATGTATTAAATGCAACTATTTTAGTCACATAATAATACAATAACGCTAACACATAATAATATTTACTCACTATTCGATAAATCGTGTTTCTTGTTATTTGACATCATCGAATTTTTCATCATAACGTCGAAAATAATTAGTCAATTTCTGTAAAACAAAAATAAATAAATAAAACAATGTACATAGGTAGGTACTTATGTTATATCATACACTATTTATTGGTTAATGCTAAATATAACAGGTTCCTGTAATCCTATGGATGAATGATTTATGGGGTTCTATCCACAATCTCGTAGACTGCTGTATTTACTTAATATGATTTTTTGTAAATTAACTGTGAATACAAAAATTTGATTTGATACCTTAAAATCCAATATGATTTAGACAAAATATACTCACCAATATAATAAAGTATACAGTAGGTATTTAAGTTAAATCACTTTCGCAGACGCTAAAATCCAAATACGTTTCTGAGACTTAACAAACGGTTAGCTACAATTTACTTTAAACAGTGACCGTTCCGTTGTGAAAAGCGAAATTTATTTTCTCATATAGTTTTGAATGATTGTGGGAAAGTAGTTAAAGGTATTGTGTTAATTTCCCGCGCGTTGTAAATTGATAGGTGCATAAAATAATTATAGAGAACTTACTTTAACATTGTATGACCGCATTATATATCTACCTAGTAAAATAAACATTGTTAAACGTCCTATATAATGATAATTATTGCTCAATAAGTTTTGATTTTGTAATTACAATTGTATTCATCACAACATATGCACTAAGTCGATAAATATTATTTTTTTACAACTTTATGATAGTTTAAAATATAATATATACTGCGTTTATAGAGATTACTTATAGGCCACAGTTAAGAAAATAATTTTAATAAAATACTGATAAACAAAATAAAGCGACGTCGAAATGTTATGTTACACCAGAGTATTGTATAGAATATATACTTATATTATTAGTTAACTAACTACGAGGTACCTAACTATTTTACAGTAAAAAGAATATCGTAAAAAAGATTTTAAAATAGAATTAGATGACGGTATAGAGTATACTCCATAAACCTATTATATTAAATCATATTAATCAAAAAATCTCACGATTGATAGTTAGATTTATGTAAAAATAAAGAACATACTTGGTAAAACGCATTAAAACATGGGAAAACGGGTAAAATGATAAATTATAAAATGTATATAGTTACACAACTTATAAGGTACCTACTTAAAAATACTATGTGGTTATTTGGATCAATTTTAAATATATTTAAAACATAGTTTAATGTATTTTTTTTTTTTTTGCTAATACAATGTGTAGTTAATACAAGTATTTTTATATTCATGCATTTTATTTCTACGGGTAATTTTTGAAATTAAAGCTATTATAATATAAAAATAAATCTAATAAATGTTATTTAATAAAATTATTAGATTTCAAATTTTAGATGTTCTTTACAAAGAAATGGTTAAAAATGAACAACTACTATTAATATATATTACATATATAAGTATATAACCAAGATGATAAGAGGTGTTTAAATATTATTTAAAAAGAAAGATGGGATATAATCTTAGAGTATATTATTACCATGTATACAAATTATAAATTATCATGCGTTTAAGGACTTATTGATATTTAATAGATTATCATTAGAAATTAAATTAGTAAACAAAAAGGAATTTTTTAAATCTAAATTTAAAAAATATTTATATTTAAAAGACGCAATTTATGACATTAATTGTTTTTGATTAAAATATATATTACTAAATATCATTTAATGACTTAATGTTATATTTTAAAATTATTTTTATCATTGCTGCTTCTTGTGTGAGTATAGTTTAGTTACTATTTTTAAGACTGTACCTAATTAATAGATTATTATAAATATAAAGTACGTTTTAACCTTAAAATTAAAGTCCTTCTCTCATAAACTTACTTCAAGAGATGGAAATCAATTAATAACTATATTATAATATGTATATTTATTATGTATTGAAATAATTTTTTTTGAGTTGAGTACAATAATTACTATTATTAATTATTATAATATAATTATATAAAAAGGTATTATTTAGTTTCATCATCGATTAATCGATGATCACTTAAAGAAAAATATAGATAAATGACATTGACTGAACTTATTAGTCAATTGCTGTTATATATGTTACGGTCAAAAACCGAAGTCGGGCATACCTCAGAAATGCCCGGGCAAAACGCGAATTGCCCACAATCCTTGGGAAAAATGTCATATCTCGGCTTTTGACCGGGCAAACTTAGTTATGACCAACATCATTTGGGCAAAACCGCCAAAACCGTATACTGACTTACATCGTAAGGACAAAACCGTAAAGTTTTAAATACGTTCGCTAATATTATAAACAAATTTAATAATTATAAAACAAGTATTATTGTACAAATATAATTAAATAGACTTAATTAATATATTTAAACCTCACTTGAGTCAAACTGTAGCGTTTTAAATAACCACTAATATTAAATACAAAAAAATAATAATCATAAAATATTGTACAGATATAATTAAATACATTTAAATAATAATAAAAATAATATAATGATATTAAGTACTCTTATAAAAATAAACATATAATAATATTAGGTCCTCTATAATGTTAAAATAAATAATTAATAAAAAATATTGTACAGATATAATTAAATATAATAATAAAAAAATAATATTTTTGTTTATTTGTTGCTACACATATTAGAACTACACAAAATTTAAAACGCTACAGTTTGACTCAAGTGAGGTTTAAATATATTAATTAAGTTTATTTAATTATATTTGTACAATAATACTTATTTTATAATTATTAAATTTGTTTATAATATTAGCGAACGTATTTAAAACTCTACGGTTTTGTCCTTACGATGAAAGTCAGTATACGGTTTTGGCGGTTTTGCCCAAATGATGTTGGTCATAATTAGGTTTGCCCGATTTCGGCTTTTACCCGTAACATATATACCGTTTATCAACAATGACTAGTGTTCTCCGGTATTATTGACATTGTCTAATCATTAAATATAATGCCAGGATTTTAGGTAACATACATTTATGTTATATAAAAAAAAAAAAAAAAGAAAAGAAAAACGGAATAAACTTAATAAAGGTATAATGAGGAAGAGAATATTGAGAATCTTTGGTGGGATGGGAGTGGGAGGTCACAGAATTAGGTAAGTATATGGTCCGATAGATAAAAGTGGATTGGTGGCTGGAGATAACTTTTTATTTTTAGAGAGGAGATAAATTGAATAAATGTCAACGGTAATGTTGGCCTATTCTGCGGATGAAAAATTTATTATAGAGGTTTAGCTTTATGTGATTTTACACTTTTAATTCTAAATTAAAAATCAATTAAAATTTGTTAAAGTAATTTTTTTATTTTTATTATTATTATTTTATTGAATTTATTATTTTACTAAATATATAGGTGTAAATTTTACTTTTTACTATAAATCAAGAATTTGATTTTCATTTTTACAGTGAAAAAATCGTTATATAATATGCCACACAGTGATAATTTTCAATGATAAGGTCTGTAACAAATCGTTGTAAATAGGAAGGAACTACACATATTACGTATCTATAGGTGTAATATGCCTATATATATTTTATGAATGAAAATCGTACATAGATTGTAGCCCTTGAACTATAACAAAAACTTTGAATAGAGTACGTTTTTGGAACAGTAGTTGTTTAATATTTGTATTAAACACATTTATGAAAAAGTCAAAATGTTTACCTACCTACCTATATTTATATACATACCTAATGCATAAAAACCATAGGTATTATATATAGGTAGGTATAGACTTATTTTTTGAAATGTGTTTTAACTTATATTACCTATATAGATCAACAATTAATTATTATATACTATTACAAGATAAAAATATTATTGTTTTATTGAATATTTAATTTCGAATAATTCACATACCGATTTATACAATAGTATAATACTGAAATTGTATCTACTGTTTTTGGTAAGTACTAACTCATATTAAAATATTGTCGAAACTCAATTAAATTTTATAATTTTAATAGTTATTAGTTAATACTTAAAGAAAAATATATTATGTTTAATCAAAGAAAATTTTTACCCCGCGCAACGGAATAGGTACTTATAATCCATGCGACCTACTGAAGGTTAATACCGATATAAAATTGTTGATTTCTTGTTTTCTTCACTGCTTTTTTTGTAAAAGTCATTTCCACATACGTACAATATTATTGATTTATCGTGTTAAATTTCTATAATCTACAGAATCGAAAAACTTGTTAACAAAAAAAATAAAAAACACATATTTTTGTAAACGTAGTATGTCTCACTCCATTCAAATTATAAAAATGGTATGTAAAATGACTTACCGCAGTGAAAAAAATATGAAGTTTAACATCTTGCAAATAATTTGAAGTATAATACCCGTTTCTGTACTCACTAGTAAATATGTAATAATTACAACAGTAAATAGAAGCAACTATATATATACAGGAATATACACCAACACCGATATATTACTTTAGTACTTACCTACTATGTATTACTTCTATAGAGTTACTTATGAATATAACAATGAAAAATAATAATACTAGAAATTATGGAAAAATATTTTTATTTTTTTTATTTTGCTTTTATATTTTAAGAACATTTAGTATTTTACCTATAGTGTAGTATTGCCATATTATTATACAATGAAGAATACAAGTAAAATATGTATTAATAGAATGTTGCGCACTTTTTATGATAATATCGAGATACACATCTACCTGTAAAAGCAGAAGATATAATAAAATATTATTTTTCGCTACTTCATTTTTAAATAATATATGACTGATGGAGAAGAGATACATTCACTGATCGAGAATTTTGTTATTATTCACTTTTTATGTCTATTTTTCGTTCTGTTTTCAAAGTTTCATGACGAAACCAATTTAGTATTTAACTTTGTGTCGTTTTTAATACTTCTATCATAATTAAAAAGTATTATAATTTAAGTTATTATAATGTTATGTTAACTTTCGCAAATTACATTTTTTTACTCATGTTTTTTTTGTTCATATACAAATGTGGCCACTTATATCTAGGTGAGTGCGTGTAAAATACAATTTCATAGTAGCTGTAATACCTACATTTAAAATTAATATGTGTAAATGTATAATTAAAACATAATAAAGTGCTTATAGAAGCTATTATGGATTGGTTTATTATTTTTGATATTTTCAGAATTACATCCCATTCTAAGGGATTATTGGAACTTAAAATTAACAAAAACAAATACATTTTTGAAAATTTTATTGATGAAATGGTAAATTAATATAATTACTAATAAATATTTATTTTATTATAATATAATTTAAGTTGTGACAATCATACATACAACTATGTACTAAAAATTTACAATAAATTCAAAAATTCTTACACATTTCTCTGCATTTTAAATAATAATAAAAAATAATTTGATTACATCTTAAGTTTTAATGTACTTATATATATTTGTTTTAACACTTAGAATAGGATTTTAAATGTTTTTAATTAGTTAATATTGATTCATAAATATGTATGTATCATGTATTATAAATTAGAATGCAATGTTTAGTTGCTAAAATAATAATAATAATAAATATTTTTTTAATAAAATTTTTTTAAATTTATTTAGGTAGGTACCTATAGTGAAATAATATTTGAGTTTCATTTATTAATGTGTGAAATGAAAAACCTATTAATTTTTAGTTATAAGTTTATGTTTTGCACAATGTACCGGAAGTTCCATATTAAGTTTAAATTCCATTTCATATAGTTCCTATAGGACATATATAAATATATATATATATATATACTAATACTCATATAATATAAATATATTAAATGTTTAAACATTTATTTATTTAAAATGTATTTTATGAGTATGCTACGTATTTATGTAGTATCAATTATAATAAATTAACAATTGTGTAATAGTTATTTTAAAAACTCAAATCATTATAATTAATTAAATTTAAAAAATTAAAATGAAAAAAATGGACGGAATAAATAATTAACATACTAACAGTATTAATCAATTATTGTATCTTCTAATAGTATTACTAGTTATGCCCTTATAGTCATGTAAGATAAGTTCAACAGCCTGATTAGCGGTTATACCCATCAACGCAATTTATATTTATAACATCATAATTTTTTATTTTCAGTACGTTTATAATAATACTTATATAGTACAATGTTAACGTATTATGCGTATGATTATTGGTTTAGTTTAAAAATGTCGAAATTGTAAGCAGTTTAAAAAGAATAAAAAATCGTTATAGTTTCTTTTCTTCATATTAGGTACATAAAATATCAAATTCATGTTTAGCAGTTATAATTTTGTGTTATGACCCTTAAGAATAGAGATAATTGACCTACAATCAAATATAAATAGGTAAGAATATTATTTATCGATGTTTTCTCATAAGTTTTTTTTACGGAATTTTAAATTTTTTAGCAAATTATTAGTATTTAAATTATTAAAATTTTAAAATTTTTATAACTCCCTAATTTAATGTTATAACATAAAATTTAAAATAATGAAAATAAATTTCATGTATTGTATGTTTGTTAGACGTCCACGACATAATATGCGGGCGGAGCGTTATTTTAAATACGTTAAATAAATAATAATTTTATTGCTTTATTGAAAAATAAAAATAAAAATGTTAGTTTATATTATATGCAGATATAGTTCAACAAAATTATTGAATATCATTATATTTTATTTTACAAAGTAATCTTCATCTTAAATGAATCACTAAAAATCCATGTTTAAAATATTTAATAAACAATATAAATCAAGATTTTAATTAAAACGAGTACCCGAGTCCAAATGAATTGTGGTATTATTATTACTGTATTCACGTTAAGATGGATATCACAAAAGTACTTATATTCAGAACATTAAAGTTTACTTAGAAAAAACTTAAGTTTAAGAATAGGTAAGTTGAGTTATTTATATTTTTATTTTGTTTTATTATTTGATCATGATTGATATACTAATGAAATGGATCTTGAAAAAATAATACATTAATTGTTTAGTTATAAATGTTATGATGAATTCGTTTATAAGAAAAACTTATGCTTTTATTTTATTGAATATCTTTTTTTATGAAAATATTTTTTTTAGTGCCGTTAAACGTTTTATTCTAATAGTGGTTTTGTTGTTGATCTTAAAAACTTTGGATGGATTAGCCATTGCCCATTAGTTATGAATTATGATACATTTACATTTTTATATGTTTCAATAGTTAGTAAAATAAATATAGATGGAATAGAAAAAATAATTTGGTGTAATGTTAATTTTTTTTTTAAATGTATCAAATAAATTGGTTATTGTTAGAAAGTATTTCCAGAAGCTTTAATGAAGGTTTTTTTTATATATTAATTGTTCTATATTTGTATGTTTGGATTGGTTATGGTTATTTAGTACATTGTCATATTTGTCTGCAACGGTGTGGCTGAGTATTCATTTTAGTTTTAATTTTGACCAAGATTACAATTAGGTGGTTATAAAAGGTACAGTTTTAAAAATTAAAAATTTAGGTAGTTATAATAATTATTATTGTATAATTTGTAATACAGTAGCTTTAGAGATGCAATATTTTTTTATGAAAAAAATATTATATTGGTACATATTATTGTCATTCAACCATAACTAATTTTGGTAGGCATTGTATTCAAACAAATCGAAATTAAGTCATATATATTTTACTGTCGAATATTTGTAAGTGTTAATTTAAGTATTCGGCCGTCATGCGTGTATATACCTATGTATACAGGTTAATCTATTTATGTTGCCAAACTAATTTACTAAGCAAATTTGTGTGTTTTTCATTTTATATTTTTGATGTCAACCCACATTTTTATTTTTAAGCTATAAGCAGAATAATTAAAAAATATGATTTTGTTATAATATTGAACATCGAATAGTCTTTTTCTATAAGTTCTTAAAATGTATGCGAGTGAAGTAGAATGGAAAAGAGTTGTCGTTTAACACTTTAAATCAGCGGTTCTTAATCTTTTTAGTACCGCGACCCAAATTTCCCCCGAAAAATCTTTATTGACCCACATGGTTTTACTTTTCAAAAAGTAGTTAAATAAAAAAAAAAAATTAATTTAAAATAATATAATATAATATATTTCAATTTTTTTTACAAAATTTGTTAATTAGGTTTAAATTACTATTTTTATTATTGTATAGGTTTATAATCAATATATTTTTACAAATGTACTTTAATTAATAATAATCTGTTTAACATTAATTTAACATACATTTCTTGGAATCTGTATAATTTAAAAAACTATTCGCGACCCACCAAAAATTGACTGACGACCTACCAGTGGGTCGCGACCCACAGTTTGAGAAACGCTGCTCTAAATCCTATTTGATCAGTATTTTATATATTTTACATTTTAATAATTTTAGAAAATTTTTTGATTTTAACTAAGAGATTAAAACTTTAAGTTGTTGTTACGAAATATAAAAATTTAACGAGAAAAAGGAAAATATAAATTTTTCTTTTTTTGAGAAGATGTATAGGTAATCTTATAACACTTATAACTTAAATACTTAAGACTATATATATAAAAAAAAAATACAATCGATTTATAAAAAAAAACTTGGTCAGTTGACTGGATCGCTCTGTAGATAAACTCATTAGCCATTTCTACCGAAGGTAAATATAATATAATAATTACAATTCTTATATTCTTATGTAATAAAGTAGTTTGCCAGCTCCGTTATATAATAACATATTATGTATAAAAACTCAGCATGTTTTTGATCTATACCTATACTATATCCAAATAGGTACTATTTACTCGCACACCGATTATGGTAATATTTCACGAACCGTGCGACAGCCGAATCCAATAGGTCGAGTCGTCGTTATTGTTGCCGAATTGGCGTTGAAATACTATAAAAAAAAAAGCCCGTCTCCGAATTACTCGCCAGTCGTTACCTTTAATGCTGTCGTCTCGATTCCGATGGTAGTGTAAGTCTGCGAAATTGTCGCGTATTCTCGTCTTCTCATCCTCCGTGACGTTGCTGTAGTTGTCTCAATACTATTTGTGTATGATACGATAAAATGGCTGGTGTGTACATCCGGAGACACGGAAGTGTCTTTGTCGAATCGCCGTCGTCGTCGTCGGCCGTACATTCACAAAATCAGAAGACTCTGGCGGCGGCGACATTGCGATGGCGGTCCGACTCGTACCAAGTGAACCGTCCCTGCAACAGCGACGATCCGTCCGCCAATAATCCGCGGCCGGCTGAGCCCGGGGCAGCCGTTGAGCTCACGAAGCTCAGTCACAACTGTACCGCACATGAAGACGACCTGCAGTCACCTCACCATTATCAGAAAGGTAGATTAATATTAATAGTGTATACTATAGTACATTGATGTGTAAAAAGCGTAGGTACAATATATTATAATTATAATCACGATGACTTTAACGTGATTTTAATTTTTATTGTCATTGATTTCCACGATAATTTTGCAGTGTCAGTGCAATACTGTTATCACTGGTAGGGAGCTGGTATCACTAATATTTTGGTTTGCCTCGCCTATACTCTACTTGTAATTCGTAACAATTCAAAATTAAATTAAAATTTTTATTTGTGTATATTTTTTATCATCTTGAGTCGTAGTACATAATCAAGGTGTTTAGAAGGTAATGGTAATAAGACAATTAATTTTTGATAATCAATTATGGTTTATACTCTTATAATTGTCTTGTATGAGAAAACATGTTTATTTTCTCAATACCACGGAACAACGTTTAGTACTGTCATTGACAATAATATAAAAAAAAAGATAATAAACTTCAACTTTTTTATTGATTTGAAACCGAATGTCATTCTAAGTATACAAATGTTTGCTAGGTTGAATTAAGTTTAAATCGTAATTTAAAAATATTTACCTAAAGAGGATGGAAAACGGTAATTTGCAGGCTTTTTTGTTCTATAATATTATCAAACACGTGATACAGGATTAATAATCCTGGATTCTACACACGTTCTTCCTAGTTTTGGCGTATCTAATTTAAAAACGAATAATTATATAATTATAGATATTTGTAATATTTAGCAAATATTAAAATTAAAACTTTCTAGACATGGTACAATTTAAAAAGTATTTTACTCTTTTTAAGCTATTAAAACATATGAAATTTTCACCTTTTCCAGTTAAAGTTTCTGAGCGGGTTTATGAATAAATTAATTTTACAATGATTTGTGTTTTTTATGTGATATCAATTTTGAGGCTAATTTCTGATAGAAAATTGGATTTAATTTGTAATTTTAAGAGATCAAATTTAAATATTTTTATTATTTGTTAAAATATTTGGAAAAAACAAATAAAAAGCTAAAGAAAAAATGAATTTTTTAGGATTTTGTAAAAATGAATAACTGTAAATATTTTGAATTTTCATCAAATATGTTGATATGATAATTTTATTGATTTATAAATACAATAATCGATGTATTTTTTGAATTATTGTTGATAAATTATTTTTGTTGAACTAAAATTTGAAAATTTAATTGAAGATTTCTCATAGCTGTCATCTACTAATTAAAAAATATTGAAATTTTATAGTCACAGTATTTTTTAATAAGTGTTTTAATTTTTGTGAAATTCGTGAAATTTCAAATATTTTTAAATTATTATAGTTGAAATATAGGTATACAATTTTGTTTTTAAATTTAAGATTTGAAAAGTGAATACAAGGTATCGGTAAGTAACATTTTTTATGAACGTTTGAAGTTTAAATGTTTGTAATATTTAATATTCAATTATAAAGTAAATAAAGCGGGTTGAGAAAGAATTTTCGAATATTATTCTCTGTTTTTGTAGAAACAATTAGGAGCTGACAAATGAATGGTACGCTGAAAAACTGGAATCATCACGGGATTTTCGAATAAACGCTTCAGTCTAAACGATCGGTACACGTTGCTAATAGTATAAATATACTTAAATACAATGCGTGTGATAATTAGAGACAACGTATTACTATACTTTCAAGCCCCTTAGAACCATACTATGGTGTATGCTTTTTTAAAAAAAGAAAATAACTTTATTTAAAATTTGCCTCTTATTTATAGCATGCATATTTAAATATAAGTATTTCCAATAAAGTTAAATTAATAAAATTAGGTATAAACTTGTAGAGTCAAATTTTAATGTAATACTTAGTTAAAAGTTAAAGGGTTGAGGAATTTGATTTAGAAATATAAAGTTTATTATATCATTATAATACAATATAATTAAGTGCTTTAAAAACTTTTTCTATGTCAATTTAAAAATGATTGGTAAAATCACAATTTTTAATTTTTTTTCTTGAAGTTTATATTTTCCTTATATTTTTTTAGTTTGACAAATTGGAAATTTTTTTTCTCAAAATTTTGAGTTACTAATTCAAACTGACGTAATCGATGTATATTTCTCTTAAATGAAAAAATGTCTAGTGGAATTAATTAAATTCCTTATGATCGTCGTAATGTAAAATGTAAAATGTAAAATTGCATGTAGAGACGTACTTAAGATTTCAGTGACTTAGGGATGTACAAATTTCTCCCTTCTCTAATTATTAATTTATACAACATTATACTAAGAAAATAACTATAGCTAAATTACATTATTTGTTTATAATAAATTATAAAAAATTGTTTCTGCTGTATAATAGACTTAATAGCAGGTTTTGTTTGAATGTATTTCTTCACTGAGTCTTAAATATTTAAATTTAAAGATATCATACTGTATTAAATTATAATTTATATACAAAAAAACGATTTTTAACAAAGATAATGGGTGGAACAGTCTTAATGGGAATCATAGTTTACATGATTCATTTATATGGTAAATTGCTTAATATTCGAGGTCCTCCACAAAACCAAGTTATATTAAGAAATCAAAATTATGTTTATGCACTACATATGAAAATGTATAAATAAAAATAATAAATATGTATATATATTATATAAATAATAATAGTGTAAAAACTAATGATAATAATAATAATGTAATAATTTAATGTTAATAGAACAATATGTTAAAAGCATTTTTGTGTTAATTTTTGGCCTATTTCGTCTTATTTTAGATTATTTTTGTAGAATTCGCTTATTTGCAACTGTTGCGTTATCCTATTCTGCCGACAATCAAAAGCTTACTGAAATATATTTATTTAATTAGTAATTTTCTAGTACAGTGGAATGAATTATTGTTAATTAAGAAGCATATAAACAAATTAACATACAACAGAGTGAACAGGTTCAGTCCGTTCAAGGTATAATGGTAACTAGTTTGAAAATATAATTGCATATAGAAAATGATAAACCTAACCTATATTACTTAAGTAATGGCTGAAACTCCGAAGTTTCTATGGTTAATATTTTTTAAACTGTAATAAGATAACTAACTAACAATTTTGTTTGGATAGTTAAAATTGTAATTGTTATTAAATATTAATATCAATCTGATTTCTGGACAAGTTCTCAGAAATGTTTTACTTTTATTTATAGACTGACAAATGCTATTTTTTTTATATAAAGTAGGTTATAGAACTAATGAAATATATAAAAATATATATAATACATTTATTAGGGTGAAAAAAGCAAAGGGGAGAGAGATTAAACACCCCCCTCTTCCGACTACGCTACTGTATATATTTAGTTGCGGTTAGGTTTAATTTAAATAACATTTTTATTTGTATAAATATTATTTTTAGACTGTGATTATTACATTTTATGATTTAAATGTTGCAGGATTTATTTCTGTGATCAGTGAAAATAAAAAATCAATTACATTTCAAAACAATAACGAGTCATCATCAAGTATAGAGTTGTAAGTATAGCACAAGATATATGTCAACCAGTCGGTTTAAGGTATTTTAAATTTAACTAGTGGATTTTTTTTAAACTCAAATAAGTGCAGAGAGTGCTATTAGGAGGTACCTATTATATTGGTATTAGTTATGCTGTTTATGAGTTATGACTACTAAAAATTTTACAACAAAATATAATTAAGTTATAATATATTTAAAAACTAGGTCAACCATTTAAAATGAAAATTACTTATGCCTAAATATGTATGAAATGTTTTAATTACGAAATACTGCATTGTATGTTATGTAGTAATAGTAACGTATACTCGGTCATATAATTGACTATAATAAATATTTATAGTTGTTTTAGATTCTAAGCACAACTATGCATGTATTGATTGTTCTTTATTTTTGTGTGTGTTTATTTTGTATATAAATATATATTAGGGCGTATATATATATATATATATATTGCCTTACTTTTAGAAGCAGTAAAATATTTATATTTTTAACTCTGAGGATAGTTTCTGATGGACAATTAAATCTAGAAGATATCTGGGAGTAAATTTTTTTTTTTTTTATAGATTATAAAATTATAAAGAATTTTGTATCAAGTTTTTTAATCGTGGTAAATAACATTTTTTATAAATTTTTTACAACAAAATAGTTTGGTAATTTTTGTAAATTTTAAAAATTTTGACAAAATTTTAACTTTAAATAATTATAAAAAATATTTATTATATTTTAGATATTTTTTCATAAAGAAATTGATCACTTATGAGAACTATCAAATTCAATTTTCAAGCATCTGTATCTAGCGAATAATTTTTAATCGACATTTATTTTGTTAAAAACAATTTAGAAAAAAAAAATCGAGAAATTCTGATGCCTATAAATAGCTTAAAAAACTGAAATATTTTGAAAATTTTAACGTAATTAGAAAATGATAATAAAAATATTTGATAAAAATTTTAAATATCTATGATTATTCGTTTTATATCTAAAAAACATAATTGATTTTATCAAAAATTGAATTTACGAAAAAATTCTTGTTTTTTCCAAGTTTGTTTTTTGTTTTCACAGCTATCAAACAAGTACTGGGAATTTTTATTTTCACCTTTTTAAAGTAGAAACTAAATCTAATTCGTCACCAGAAAATCAAAGAATTTTATTAATTATTTATCGTGTTACATATAAAAAAAACATATATGCACGATTGAAAATAAAAAATACAGAGGCACCATTTTTTTTTTTTTTTTTTGTAGAAATTTGATATTTTTATTTTCTATAAGCCATATATCGTTGAAAATGTTTTCCAAAAATGCATTTTAAATACGATTTCAAAATACTATTTCGATGATATATTTGCATGAAGAATAATTATCAATGAAATATTTTCCAAGTAAATACAGTTACATTAGAATAATTTCCGATAAAATATTTTTTTAAGTTTATATAGTTCTTGAAAAATACTTTCCGGTAAAAATATATTTCGAGAATAAATATTGCGACAAAATATTCTTCATAAAAAACTCTCTTAAATGTTAAGGTACTAAAATTTAAAATATATCGTTTAGATTTATTTTAACTTATGGTGACTTAAAAAAAAACAAAACAATAGATATTGTATATAATATTTTTAAGTATATTTTAAATTATAATATTTATAAGAGCCAATAAGTATTTCAGTATATGATACGAATATGCGTGCATAAAATATAATAATACGAGAGGGAGGGGATTATATTTAGTAGGTATATATCTTTAAAAATAATTTAATTAATTAAATATAGGTATAATAAGTATAATACCATGATAGATATATTATATAATTATAGATTATTATTATAGTATTCTACATTATATTATTTTAATTCGTATGATGGCAGACATATCATGTAAATAACGAAGCTTAATGTAAACATGCTAAAAAAACCACACTGACAATAATTTAACTAAATAATTTATGCAAAAAAAATACTAACTGTTACTAATATGTGTTCAAATAAAAACTAGAATGTACCTACTATGTGCTAGCTATCTATTGTTTAATATATATCTGTATATAATACTAGTATTCGGGAAAGTTATGTGAACAAATGATAATCGACTATAAAATTATATTGATAAAATAATGCGCTATTCATCTCGAAGATTGAAAAAGGCTACAACTAAGTCTGAGTAAGCACCTTAATCTTACGACTTACGTATTTATAATAATAATGAATTGTTTAACATTCAATAATGTTTAATAAATCTTAAATTATTATCTTTTGCTAAAATAACATTGGTATTAAAATTATATGGATAAAATAGTTTGTCTGGTTTGTCGTGTATGTTATATATTATATAAATAATAAGTATTTAATGTTTAGTGTAGTCTATGGCATATTTTATTTTATTCGGAAAATCAAATAAATTTGAGTCTTAACAGTTTTAAGGTTTTTTGAAGTTTTTAAAATTTTCATATACCTAATTACGTATAGTTTGACAATTTTTTATTTTATTATAAAATTTAATTTGTTTTTTGTTGGTACTATAGAGTTATGTATCATATTTAGTTTCTTACTAAATTTATAAGGATTTAGTTGTATATGATTATGTTATCTATATCCATCATGGGTGTCTCCAGGGGAGGAGGGCAAGACGGCAAGTGCCTCTTCCCTAGAATTTTAAATTTGTTACCTAATTTTAATAATTTTATGTAATAATGACGAAACATAATAATATTCTATAAATAAAATGTATAATAATAATACCTGATTGTAAAAATGACGAAACAATAATGTACTATAAATAGAATGTAAGTATAAAATGTATAAAAAAGTCTTCATTTATTTTTTAAATTAATTTTGCCCCTTTTTTCCCCTAAAAAAATATCTAGGGACGCTCTTGGTATCCATAGTTGTTTATTGTAGATCTGCAAGTACTGATTTTAATGGTTTTTTTCTTATTGTTTCACGTGTGACTTATATTTAGCGCCAAATATGTTTAGGTGTGTTCAATTTGTAAACATTTAATAATTTTTAACGCGTACAGTTAATTTTTAGGTAGGGCATTTTGTTTGGTAATTTAAGTTATTTTTCTAGATTTAGTTCAAACTTCCCAATTCATAATAAAAAACTTTACAAAACAGAGAAAATGGTTAAAAGATATTTTGTTTAAACATTTTTATTTTAATGAATTTTTGGTTTTAGATACTTATGTTCGCAATTTTAACAAAAACTTCTGCACAACCTAACGCATAAATAAATTTTTGATATTTTGAAAGGTTGTTTATTTATTATTTTTTTTTAAATTAACAATATCGAGGTTAATTACTATACCTATAAGTGAAAATAAATATTTTGTTAAATATGTTAATGTATGTATCAAATTATGTTAAATTATATTACTATTAAGTTGTCATTTAAATGTTCAATGATTATACATTTGTAGTGAATTAATAATACAACTATATTGTTTAATTTGAGTTAGTTAACTGATACTAAACACCATAAAACTATTCAACTAGGAAATAAACTCAGATCTGGCAGCAATAATGTAAAAACGAAAAATTCACTAAATTAATGTCAAAAATGTGTTAGACTGTACAGTAGTGTTCATGACAAGAAACAGGTAATATTTTATGATAATTATTACAAACATCCATTTGTTTTTTTCTGCACTATATGAGGCAATTTCAATAAAACAAACAGGTGTTTTGCGTTTTGTTGTATAATTTATTTAAAAAAAAAAACAAAACAAAAATAAAGTCAGTTAACTGGAATAAAAAAAAAAAAAAAATGTGAAATGATTGGTTTATTACATTTATACACAGTATTAGTAATGTGTGCGTTCAACGCAAAACAGTGTTACACTCGTTTTCGGTTCATTTATATCATTATACTAACGCTGCTTTTTAGTTTAATCCAATTTACTTAGTAATTCTATTTGTTTACTTTCACAATTAAATAAAATAATTTTTTTTTTTTTAAATGAATTCCCCTAAACACAGTAAGCAATACATATCTGCTATTAATGTAAAACAAACCAGTGAAGAAGTCTACAAATTCAATTTCAGCACTACTAATGACAAAGAAAAAAAGTAATCTTCTGTATTTTATTTCACATAATTTTTATGTCCAAGTACAAATAATAAAGGCTCAATAGTGAAATTATTTGGTGAAGAGTATTAGTATGTATTAAGGTATTCGGGGTTTTTATAACTCCTAAAATGAAATTAATAATTTGCATAAGATGAAGATGTTTATTTATTTATTTTTCTAAATTTATTACAATAATATCTTATTTTTTTCGTAGAAATTTATTTTAATTTAAAATATTAATTTTTTTTCATAAAAAGTTCTTAAAATTTAATTTTTTGCTTAAAATAATATAATATTACATATGATTACTATTGGCATTAGGTACTATTAAAGTAGGTACTTATTTAATATCTGTGGATAATTCACTTTAACATTTTTGATTTGTTTGATACACTGTCTTTGATTTCATTAATTATTTTAATTATTGGTAACTATTAATAAGTTACTATTAAATATATGAAAGTAAGAAAAGAGCAATTTTAATTATCTACATTTTCAATGCGAGATTAACCATATATTTACAAAGTTTTATTTAAACTTTAAAACAGTATGTAACATTGTACTTATGTTTAATGCCAATTTATTATAAATTTATAATTTATAGGATGTATTATTATATTTTAATAATATTATTATTTTAAGTTTCTGTATACATAAATATTCAATGATAAAGATTATGTATTGATAATATGGAATTTCAAAAAAATTAAATATATTTAATTTTTAATTTTTATGGTGGTTAAAATTGTTTTAAATACGTAGATACCAACTACAAAATTAACTTTTTTTTTTTTTGGATATCCAAAAGGATTTTGGCCGTGATTATTTTTTAAAAATGCTTAATATGTTGAAACTTGAAATCACAATTATGGTTCACTAAAATTCATCAATAGTTTTTATTTAGATAATTGGAATACATTTAAATAGATACA